TAGTCTCTGGCTCGATCTCAGACCCGATTTCGGATCCGACTTCGGATTTGGTTTCGGACTCGATCTCGGACTCGATCTCGGACCCGATCTCGGATCCGACCTCGGACTCGACCTCGGACTCGGTCTCGGACCCGATTTCGGATCTCGGACTCCGTCTCGAACTCGGTCTCGAACTCGGTCTCGAACTCGGACTCGAACTCGGTCCCCGAGTCGGTCTTGGACTCGATTCCGGACCCTATCTCGAACTCGGTCCTAGAGTCGGTCTTGGACTCGATCCTCGACTTGGTCCCATCCGATGAACTCTTTGTCATTTCGGTCAAGCTTTTGGGGATCCTTTAGCCTACGACATCTCGGGGAGTCGGTTCCTTACAAAGTAGTCCTAAGGGGCAGAAGTTGCCCCAGAGAACAAAACAAGTGTCAGAGTAACACTTGTGAAAATAGTCCTTCTGAGCAGGACAAGAATGCAGGAAGTGTATTCCAGTGAGCTAGTGCCTCACAAGTGGGACCTTACGGGTTTGTGGATTAACCAAGTCCAAAACTGCTAGATGACTCAAGTAGAGTCAAGGAATAGTCCTAAAAGGACTGATGGAAGCATTTGGACTGAGGTGTGTGGTACCCCACGAAAGATGGGGGGGGGATCATAGGATCCAAGGATGAGAACAGAGGGTATCTCATCGATGGCAAAATATGCCATGCTAAAGTCGTGGGAAAGGTGTTCCCAAAAATAAAACAACTTTGACACAAAGTTATGTGTAACCTCTATGGTGTAGTGCTAACAGATGGTTAGCATGAGAAAGAGCAGTATTGGTCTTGGCAAAGACTTAGACACAAAGAAGAAGTGTCATAGAGGTAGGCTCGTGGAGCCGATGGTGTGGAGACACCAAATGTGCCAACGTGTGATACCTTGAGGCTATGTTGGTGGGTTCATGAGAACCCCTTGCCAAAGGAATCCTAATGGAAATGGGAATGGCATAGCCTAAGCGGCAGAGCATGCAGTTGAAGTGTGGTGACCCAGATAATGATGGAGGTGTGGAAGCACCAGCAATGAGTTGTAGGACTTGACAACTATGAGGCAACTAAGCAAGAGATGCAAAATAATTGGTTAAATGGGTAGAAGGTAGCTACCCAAGCCTTCTTAATGGCATAGGGAAGTTGGACATACCCTTACGGGGGATGAGTTACTTATGTTGTGATATAGTAAGTCAATGTCATAAAAGGAAATACTCATTGTCAAGGAAGCCATCATTGGGACACCTGAACACTCTAGAACACCAGGAGGTGGTGTTTGATGTTGCGAGGGTAATAAATAAGGCCCAAGGGACTAAGTCCCTAGCGAATGATGGATAGAAAGTGTTATCTAAATGTCCAAAGGTGGCGGAGACAGGAGAAGACTGTCTACTCGAATTGGACAAAGCCAAAAATGGAATTTTGGCAAGGCTAGTGATGGGCATGTAAAGGCCCGTAAGCAACAACGTAATCCTGATGTGTGGGATTATAGGGTGAGCATACCTGAATTGAGGAACCACTCCCTAGGCTATCAGGTAGGTTCATTCCTAAGAATACTTGCTAAGGCATGATAGAAAGTGCAAAGCTATCCTCCTAGTCTGGAAGAGTATGACCAAAGGAAAGGTGTAAAGCCAAAAGCAAGAAGTAAAGGGATAGAACCGAACCATAGGAATCGAAGGGCATAACCAAAGTTAGTTATGCCAGTTGGGAGTGGAGAATCAAGTGGGGGTTCGAGGGTGTTGCCACTAGCAACCGTGATGCCATGGAGAGTCTAAAATATGGATTTATTATCCATGTTTGACAATCCAAATATCATATCAAAAATTGAGTATGGTGGTGAAAAAGAAGTGAAACGATAAGTATGTATAAAGTTTTTTATTTTCAAAAACCACCAAAGATTTCTAACTAAAACTCATTATTTATTCTTGTAACATTTAAGAGTATATAAAAAATTTAATCTAAAATTTAATGGCTATTCATAATTAACTTTATTTTTCATTTTTCTTACAAATATTCTTGGTAAGTTTCTCTATTGAAATTTTTAATCATATAAATCTTTGCAATATTGGCATAATTTACAATAATAACAACGTTTTAGTGTCCTTACATTAATTTTCTATTACACAACTTAATATGAATACACAGCTATTTTAGAATCATATTTTAAACATAAACAAAAAACATTAAAAAAAATCAATTATAAATCTTTATTATTGCTTCTTTTTATTTTATATTATTTGTAGGTAACTTCATCTATTTTGCTCTATAAATAGCAATTGATTTTAATCCATCATTAGTTAACTTTACTTTTTACTTAACTTTAATGTTTTATGCTGCATTATTACAAATATAGAGGGAAAAAAAAAGATTACCTTAAATATATTTTCATTGATAGGTAGCTTATAATCACTAAAGTAATTTTTAAAAATTTCCACTACAACTTTTAGATGGATAAAAAGTAAAAACCCATAAAACAAATATAAAAGAAAATAAGTTAAAAAAATATGATACATGTAAATTATATAGATAAAACCTAAAAAACTCACAAATAGGGAAATAAATAAATATGATACAATTAACAATTTCAATCGTTTGGATTGCACCTAAAAAGAGTTTTATACCCATTCGAAAATTTAAAAATGTGAGCGCGAGATCGAGCACCTCGGAAGTGGCGGGGACCGTGGCAGGGCCCGGGATCGGGATTGGAGTAATGAGTGGAGCAGCGGGTTAAGGGAGCAGCAGGGACGATTTGGCGTGGAAGCTGGCGATGAGAATTTTGCCGTGCCATCGAGATCTTCCGACAACAAGTTTGAAGCTGTGCGAGGGTCGATGCCATTACTAAATCACGAGTGCAAGAATTTTTTGTTCTCTTTTCTTCGCCTCGAGTAAGAGCTCTTTTGGTTTTTAGCAGCTGGTATGCCCGTTCCTGGTTTCCATTGTTTGGAGCCTGGAGCAACTACCAAGGTGTCAAGAACACCGAAGATGGACTAGATTTTTTTGGTTTGATGATAGAAAACGATGAAAAAACTTTGTTGCAGTGAGGACGCGGTGACCTCTCTCTCTGCTCAAAGTGGAGTCTTCCTGCGAATCAAGTCATGGTGGTAACCATTTTCGTCTCATTTCGCTGCTAGAGTTTACAAAATTCACTGTTTCATAGGATCTAATCGCAAATCCTGCCGGAAACCGGAATCTTCCAGTGCCGCGTGACCGACGCCAAAAATGCTGCTGCTGCCGAGGGAAATCTTGAGGAAATCGCAAGACAAACCGGGATGTTTCAATTGTTCCGGAAGAAACTCACAGATTTCCAGCAGATATCTCCCGAGCCAGTTCTTCGCCCAGGAAACCATTTCAATGCGCATTACAACGTGAAGGACATGACCGAGCTCAAATGGCTGTTCGTGGAATCCCTTACAGGCAGTTAGTTATGGCGTTTTAGGGTCGTGCCAAATGCCGGGACGGGGCATAATATTCTGATTCCAGGACAGGGGGATGTGCAGATATGTGGCGAGCGCTATGGAGTCGACTGCAGCAGGAGCAGCAACAACAAGTAGAAAGCTTAAGCGGGAGGCGGCCCAGCGGCGCAAGGCGCAGGCTAGATCGCTCAAACTTCGGGCCGAGGAACAGGAACGCTTGCAGCGCCTGGTACACTTCTCTTGTGCCTGTTGAGTTCCCGTGTTGTGAGAATAAATGCTGGTGCTTGTGCTGAGAGCAGGAGATTGATGCACTGGTGGAGCAACAGAGGGTGCAGCGCCTTGAACGACAGCGTCGCAAAGAAGACGCTGAGAAGCTCGCTCGAGAGGCATCAGGGCTGGGTTTGAGCAACAGCTGCTGCTCGCAGGGAGGCGCGCAGCAGACGAGGAGCAGCGATGCGCGGCAGCAGCAACAGCAGAGTGGAACAGGGGAGAGCAGGTCGTCGTCCTCGTCGTCCTCGTCGAGCTCTGCAGTGCCTTCTTGGCCCGTTGTTTATAAGGACCACCAACAAGCTACAGCACAAGATGCAGCAGAGCAGCCAGCCACCTCTCAGCAAGTGCAACAGGCGAGAGCTCTTGTGGACAACCGGAGAAAACTGGCGAGGGGCCCTCGCTCGGGAAACGGGACTGTGGGCTTGGCATTGACGCAAGTAACCAACTTTGCTGCTTCTAAGAGCTCCGACTTGGCGCTGGAAGATCACCGGGTTGTGAGCACAGAGTACCAAGCAGCGGGAACGCAAGCTCTGATGCGGGTCACACTTTTAGCAGCGGGTTTTGTCATTGGCGCTCGGGGCATCTCCGCGAGGCTCATCGGTCAGGTGACAGGTGCCATCATCCAGTCGTGGACGGAATCGTCTGCATGCCGGCTCAGCAACAGCGCCACGGGGGTTCCAATGAGACTCTTCAGGATCCAGGGCAAGAAGGCTCTAGTCCAGGCAGCGGTGGCCCTGGTAGAGCAGGCTGTGGCCAAGTACAGGGAACTGTGCGAGTGCAAGAGAAGGGGTGAATTTGTTCAGCGTGAACATGTCATCAACGGGGTTGAGTTTTACTATCAGCCACCACCTCGAAAGGCATTCTCTCACCAACTCGCGTCGTCCAGGACTCCGTCTTCCTCCTCCCCTTCACCGGTTTCTGTGGCTGCCGCGGCCACCAGCACCAGCAACTGCAACAGCGGCAGCGGGGCTCCCGGCCTGGATGACGTCCCCTTTCCCCCGCACCGTGCCTGGCTCCGTCACCTCCAGGCTGCCGGAGCGTCGTCGAGGGATGGAAGGGAGGCAGAGCCTGATGGCCATGGCAGAGCGAAGCAAGTCGCCAGCCACGCCAGCCAGCATTCACTTCAGGTGGAATCCAGCTTGTTTAGTGTCTTCGGCAACGGGGGATTGCCACTGCCACTGTCAATAGCGCAGGAAAGCGCTCCCTCCCTCAAGACCTCCTCCCTGGACGTGTCCACCACGCCTTTTGACTTTCCAAAGTACGATTTCTTCCGGGAGATTTTGCCTGCGCTGCCGCAGCAGCAGCAGGGCAGAGAGCACAACCTCTTTGGAGACGAGCTCTGCATGCTGTGTGTTGAGAGGCCGCGTGCGCGTGGCGGCGCTACTCGTCTCACGGTAAGCAAACTCACGCCCCCTCTCGAGTGATTTAAATGTGTGTGTTTTGCCAGGATTGCGGCCACGCATCGTTTTGTTCGTCGTGCGTCCGGGCACGGGGCCACTGTCCAGTCTGCCATGCAAAGCTTGTGGGCTGGGGTCTTATGTGATGTTGTGTACATTTGTTTCCCCCTGTTGAGAAATAAGTATGAATCAAAACCCTGACCTGAACCTAGGGAGCTATGTCCTTCATTTTCTTCAAGCCATTCAGACCTAAGAGCGCAGCTGAGCTCGTCAAGTCGACGCGGGACGCGCTCGCTGCCCTGGATGACAAGACCGTGGCGGATGTGCGGCTGCTGGACAAGGTAAACAGAAAGAGCTGTTCTCATGCCACTCCCACTCTCTCCCCTCCAGGCGCTCGAGGAAGTGGACAAGAACCTCTTGGCCATGAAACACATGATCCTCGGCGATGGCGAGGCAGAGCCCAGCCCAGATCTGGTTGTGCAGCTTGTAGCCGAGGTGTGCAAGGATGACTTTCTGGAAATTCTCATCCACAAGCTCCCTAATCTAGGCTGGGAGGTAACGAGCGTTTGTGTGTGTGCATTTCGCCAGCTCATTGATTGATCGGCAGGCAAGGAAGGATACAGTCCAGGTATGGTGCATTCTTCTGCGCCAAAAGGGTGGCCTCGCGGTACACTGCCTGGAAAATCACCCCGAGCTTCTAGATTTCCTCATCTCGTGGTAAGTAGGCAAACAACGGGCTGTCGCGCTATTATGAAAGCCTGGCTGAGGGTGCAGCTATCAGAACAAGGACACTGCTCTCAACTGTGGCGTCATGCTAAGGGAGTGCTCCCGCTTTGCAAGCCTAGCAGCGTGAGTGAAATCGCCCATGCAACGCATTCGTTGCATTACTAGCTGTCGCCCGCTTTCCAGATACATGCTCGAGTCGGCCAGCTTCGAGCTGTTTTTCAAACTCGTGGAGCTTCCCAACTTCGATATTGCCTCGGATGCCTTCACCACGTTTAAGGTAGCCCTCTGCGCTGTTTTCTCTGTTACGTTTACGTTTGGCGCAGGAGCTTCTCACCAGGCATGGGAGCGTTGTAAATAACTACCTTAACTCGCACTATGACCAGGTAAGCGTCGCCACAGCTCAAATGTTTCACTTGGGTGTCGTGATCAGTTTTTTGAGCTGTACGAGCGGCTGCTAAGCTCCAGCAACTATGTCACAAAACGGCAATCTCTCAAGGTGGGCCTGTGTGTGTGTGTGTGTGTGCTTTTTTGTTTTTTTTAATGCTCTTCTCCCTCTTTATTCTTCAGTTGCTCGGGGATTTTCTCCTGGACAGATCTAACACGCAAGTCATGCTACGGTACATCTCGGACAAGCGCAATTTGCTGATAGTCATGACGCTTCTCAAGGTCCGTTGCTTGCTTCTACGTATGCCAATGTAAGTAAAAGCTTATTCTGGCCCAGGACCCAAGCAAGAGCATCCAGTCGTCTGCGTTCCATATATTCAAGGTGCGCCTCGTCGATCAGCAAATGGCGAGCTCTCTTGTCCTTGTGCAGGTATTTGTTGCAAACCCGAAGAAGCCAGCCCCCATCGTGCACGTCTTGGCAAAGAACAGAGACAGACTGCTGCGCTTTCTGGACAACTTCCACCTTGACAAGGGTACGTATATTCTCACAAACCTTTGCTGCTGCTCCACCATACGTGCATGTGGACGTGTGCATGTTCACCTCCAGAGGACGAGCAGTTTGAGGAAGAAAAGGAGCTGCTGGTCAAGGAGATCGAGGCGCTGGCCACACGCTGATGGAGTGTTTATTTGTGCCCCTAGGAGGTAGCTAGCTATGGTCACTCCCCAGTGACGACGACGAGGCATCCACACATGGTGGAGAGCGCGCTGCTTGTCGGCTGGTATAAACAGGCGTCCACCTTCACAGCTTCCCCCTCCTGTTGTTGCTGCTGCTCCTGCTGTTCCAGCCCGTGTTCCTCGTACATGACATTGACGCACACCTGCCGCTCCTCTCCTCCGCCTCCTCCATTTCGGGACGATCTCTCCAAGGCCAGGATCTCACCCAAGGAAGGTGGAGCAACACTGTCCGCCAGCAGCGTCGCGTTACTCCCCGTCTCGTCGCTGCTGTTGCCGTTGCTGCGGCAGCCTAGCAGCGCCCACACCATGCCCCCCCTACCGTGGCGTGCCTGCTCCCTCCTCCGCCCCGCCGACCGGATTCCAATCAGGCTCCCCAGCGTCATGCCCGCCACTCCCGTCTCCGGGAGAAGCGACACAGTGGACTGCACAGCAATGCACATTGCAGCGCGCTCTTGGCGTGACAAAACATACCTGGGTGTCCAGATCCGAAGACAAGGACGAGGAGAAGCTCAAGCTGGGTGACAAGGACGAGGCTGCGGCGGCGGCAGAGCTGGCGGCGGCGTGCTCCAGCCACGACTCCGCCAGATGCACCCGCACGTTGACGGGTTGCAATCCAAGCGGCCACCCCCGCATCGTCTCCTCCATGGCCAGATGAATGAATTGTCCAATTCAGCTTAGGGTTAGCCCACCGCGATGGAGATGGAGGAGGAGGGGTGGCCGAGGCGGCGGCGGCGGCGGCTGGACGTGGCGGTGTGGAGCGACGCAGCGGTGCGAATGCTGGTGCTAGTGATGCGCATCCTCAGGTACTCCCGCTCCCTCCAAGACGATCCACAAGACGACGGCGGCGGCGGCGGCAAGAGCACACAGGTGTGGAAGCGCGTCGCTCGAGCGCTGCAGCTCCGCGGCCACCCCTTGGATGGCGTCCAATGCAAGACCAAGTTCAAGGCACTCAAGGCGGACTACCACGCAGCTGTGGCCTCCGCGCACTGCGACCGGTTTAAGTTCTTGGATGACATGCGCCACTACTTTGCCGGCGTTCCTGTGGCCGAGGCTGAATTCCAGGCTCTCTTTGACGGAGGCCACACCCTGCAAGATTTCTCCCGCATGCTCCTGAGCAGCGATGCTGACGACGCCAGCGATCGTCGCCACCACGCTGCCAAGAGGCGGCGGAGCGAGGCTTGTCAGCAATCGCGCGAGGAGGACGAGTACAGGGCCGCAAAGCTGCGCCTGCTGGACAAGGAGGTCCAGCTGCAAGAGCAGCGGCTTGAGCTGGAGGTGGTGAGGGCAGACAACGAGCGGCAGCGGCTGGCCAACGAGTCCCGCCGGATTTGTGTCGAGGAGAGGAGGCTCAAGCACGACGAGGAGCAGCTGCACATGTTGAACACGCTCGTGGCGTTGCTGTCCGCGCTGACTGATGGGAGCCAGCTGGGCGCCACAGGATCGCCGCGTTATCCGACGGCTCGCCCACAGTAGCTCTTGGTGTCTCGCCTCCATTTCATGGCCTTGATGGCGCACCACCCTAGGATGGCGGAGATGAAGTATGTTGTCGTTACCGGTGGTGTGGTGAGCGGCCTCGGTAAGGGGGTAACAGCTAGCAGCATTGGCCTGCTGCTCAAGTCATGTGGCCTTCGCGTCACCTCCATCAAGATCGGTACGTGCGTGCTACTTACTCGTGTGCTGGAATGGCCCGGCCCCGCATTTTCCAGATCCCTACCTCAACATGGACGCCGGAACCATGTCACCCTTCGAGCACGGGGAGGTGTTTGTTCTTGACGACGGAGGGGAGGTAAGCCGCTGCCGCGCTGCATGCATGCTAACCACTGCTGGGAGCGTTTTATGGCTAGGTAGATCTGGATCTTGGCAACTATGAGCGGTTCCTGGACGTCACTCTCACAAGGGAGAATAACATCACGTCTGGGAAAATATACCAGGTGCCATCCCTTTTCCCGTTGCTCCAAGTCTCTCGTCTCATTCTTCGTCCCCGCAGGCTGTTCTGGAGAATGAGCGGAGAGGGGACTATCTGGGAAAGACTGTGCAGGTTCAACTCTCGAATTGCTTGGATTGCCCTCCCTTTCTTACTTCTTCCCTCGCAGATTGTTCCCCATTTGACTGATGTCATCCAAGATCGAATCCAATCGGTGGCCAAGGTTCCAGTGGACGGAACTCCTAACCCTCCAGACGTATGCGTTATCGAGCTTGGAGGAGTTGTTGGTACCCTTTCGCATTCTTTATTTCAAGCTCTTGTCACCTTGGGTTCTCCTCCTCAGGGGACATTGAATCCATGCCATTTATTGAGGCTTTACGACAGCTCCAGTTTTATGTTGGTGAGTTTTATGTGCCGAGTTAACCGATGTATGTAACAAGAGTGGAAGTGGTGTATATGGATTAGGTGCTGAAAACTTTTGCCACATTCACGTCAGCCTTGTCCCAGTTCTTGGTGTTGTCGGTGAACAGGCTAGTATGCATTGTTTTTCTGTCACATGTAGCGGTTGAGCTCACTCTTCTTACTACAGAAGACAAAGCCTGCTCAGCAAAGCGTTCGTGAAGTTCGCGCCTTCGGGTTGGTACCGCACTTACTGGTTTGCAGGAGCGCTCAAGTAAGCGACTAAGCTGTTATTGCCTTGGTTTTCACCTCTTACCTGTTAGAAACTCGAGGACTACACCAAAGAGAAGTTGTCCCAGTTTTGCGATGTCTTGGTATGCATGTGTTTTTGGGGCTTCAGTGTCAAGAGCATTTCTCCTTGCATGCAGACTTCCGACATTTTGAACATTTACGATGTCTCAAATATTTGGCACGTGCCCTTGATATTGAGGGTACTCTAGCTCCTATATCATGTAACCTGTTTTAACAGGTTCTCACTTAGGATCAAGAAGCGCACTATGCAGTCTTGAGCCGTTTGAACCTGAGGTCGATCTGTATTGTGCTTCTGTTTGTTCCTACCTAATGCGCTGTCTACAGTCCTGCCGAACCTTGTGTCGAGGAATGGTCGGCCATGGCACGGTCTTGCGAGAACGTAACCGTTCCGGTTAGTGTTACGTAATTGGTTTTCTTGTCCCCATTTAGTTCTGTTCCAGGTTCGGATAGCAGTTGTTGGAAAATACACTGGTCTTGCAGATTCGTACCTCTCCGTTTTAAAGGTAAGCGTTTTGGTGGCTAGGCTGTAATATATCCTCTGGGAATGCAGGGTTTACAGCATGCGTGTATTGCATGCTCGAGACGGCTACTTGTTGACTGGGTTGCGTCATCCTCTTTAGAAGATGCTAAGCTTCACGATGTATGCTTACACTTCCATTTGCTAGCTTGTAAATGGAAGCTGTCTTGCAGATGGCTGAGGAATATGAATCAGCTTGGAGTATGCTAAAGGTACTGGTAATTGTGGTGCTGCGCTAGTGTTTGTATTTCTCTTTCTCTTGTGTTGTGTGTGTCAGGATGCTGACGGTATTTTAATTCCCGGGGGCTTTGGTGCTCGGGGTGTTCAAGGAATGATATTAGCTGCAAAATATGCTCGTGAAAACAATGTTCCCTTTTTGGGCCTCTGTCTTGGCATGCAAGTCGCGGTCATTGAGTTTTCTCGATCGGTAAGCTTTGCTTTATGGTTCCGGTTCCCGTGGCATACATCGCAAAACGCAGGTCCTCAATTTGGAGAACGCAAATAGTACCGAGTTTGACCCGGCCACGCCGTATCCCTGTGTTGTTTTTATGCCCGAGGTAACACTTGTGGTTACGCGAGCTTCACTCGTTCTTCGTTTCGATAGGTTTCTGATACGCACAAGGGTGGGACGATGAGGCTAGGATCCCGCGCCACTCTAATTCAGACACCACACTGCATAACCGCAAAGCTGTAAGCTGCCTCCATCTATCCATAAAGATGTGTGCGAATGACGTGGGTGCAGATACCAGAAGGAGACGCATATTTACGAACGGCACAGGCACAGATATGAGGTGTTTTTATGTGTGTTTGCAATGAGCACTAAAACATGGCAGGCTTCCAGGTGAATCCGCAAATGGTTGAAGCGTTGGAAGGCGCTGGATTGTGTTTCGTTGCTAGGGATGAGACTGGAAGACGGATGGAGGTGCTCTACGTTGTGGCCTTGTATAATGTATCTCTCTCTATTGTAGCAGATCATGGAGCTGCCAAGCCATCCGTTTTACGTGGGAGTTCAGTTCCATCCAGAATTCAAATCTCGACCTGGGAAACCGTCTCCTCTGTTCATAGGTAGTAAAATCTTGTTTGCCCGCAAAATAATTTCTGTGCAGCTCATGGTGCTTCGACTTGGATGGGTCCAGGTTTTATACAGGCCGCTTCGGGACAAATGAATGGCTACATAAAAGGTGACCCGGGCACAGCGGTAACAAGGAGGGGGTATAGGAGCAAGCCTCCAAAGAGACCGGAGACGGGGGTGGGCTACAAGCCCCGGGGCACGGGGCCCAGGCGTCCAACGCCTTCGTCAGCTGGAGCTACAGCTAGTGTTCCCAAGCCGTCAGTGCCCGCAGCTTACGAATACGCGAGTGTAGGAAGGAGACCGTCGTGGCTTCCAAGGGCATCTCTCCTCAGGCTGCAAGCTGTAGAGCGCCCGGCCTTTCGGTGATATAAAAGATAAAGGAAGAGGGAGGGAGGGAGGGGACATGTTATCTCCGAGCGGTGGCAGAGGTCAGAGCAAGCTGAGGTGCCGTGCCTGACGCCGACTCCCTTGTTTCCCGCAAATACCCTGCTTGTCTAACGCCAGGATCGGCCATCGGCTCAGAGATTGGGATTTGAGCGAGTGTGAATGCCATGCCATGAAACGTCAGATTCCTTGAAAGGCCTCCAGGAGCCGTGTCAGGAATGGTGCACGTGTGCTCTCTCACTCTGCGTGCCAAAGGGCATGTGAACAAGTGGTTTGCGCTTTGCTTAAATGCGCCCCAACCTCCAAGCAAACACAATGCAAATCCAAGCCTTTGCCTTGACTCGCGGGTCTCTAGTCGGTGGTTTGTTTATTTTATCTGCAGCATAGCACACACTGGCTCTCGCCCCACTACTTGGTTCGACTTTAGTAGTTGAGGGCACGAGCACCAGTTGGACTCGAGCGCATTGCCAGCCAATGGCCATGCCAGCACACGCAAATCCGGAGCAAGAGAAACAAGGGCGAGGACGTACGGCCAGCATCGTTCCGTAGGTGTTACGAGCGGACAAGCCTATAAGCTGGACGACGGGGCCGAGTGGACGTTTTGTTCCGAGATTAAAAGGCATCTGTCAAGCAGCTGCTTGACAGTCGAGTGTCTTCTCCTTTTTCTTTTGTATCTGATTTTCTACGACACTTCTCTACCAAAGTCTTTCTTGGGATTGACGTCGCCCCCGTACACCATGCGATGGTGTGTGCCTTATATGTTAGATTGCATTCAATCCTGCGCCCTGTCCACCCGTCCGTCGCATCCTGCATGGCCCGGCCCATGTATACATTTTTCCATTCCATCGTATAGGCTCCAAAACACCATATGACATGTCAAGAGTGAGGACGAGTAAAGCCCACCCCCACCGCCTCCGGAAGAATCAAGCAGCTACCAGTGCTGCACAAGCAAACATGACATCCTGGCCTGCAGTCCCTGCAGCAGGGTAATATACAGCTCGGTTGGTATATTGTGTATATACAGCGCGCGCATGAAGATGTATAAGGACCTCCCTCTCTACTTATTGGCTTGTGAGTCCTGAGCAGGCAGCAGCAGTCTGTTCTTGAGATCTTCTCCGTCTGCGCTCAAGCCCCTCCCCACACAGCCTTTTGGCATTCATCTGCTTCTCAGCTTCAACTGTCTTGTAGCTGCCGGTCTTTAAGTTCCCCCAGTGAATTACTGTGAAGTATCTAAGCTGCGACTGAGAAGGATGGTTAATGCCGCTTCAACAGCCCTTGCTCTTGGATGTTGCTGTTGCCTCTTGGCGGCCGCATGTCTTTTATGTTCCGCGGATGCCTCCCGGGCAACAGTGGGTAAGGTTTGCAGAATTTGCTATCTGATTATGACAGCAATGGTCCTCTCTAACACAGAGCCGCATTCTCTACGACCTCCTGTCGGAGCAAAGAAACAAGCCTCGCGGCGAATGTTGACAGGTAAGGTCTAGATTGCTGGCATGCTGATCGTGACTCGTGTCCAGAAGGAGCGAGAGGCCAAGCAAGAAGAGTTTTAAAAGCGCTCGACTTCGAACAAGCGCCTCCTCCTGCGCAGGGACCACTAGGATACTCGTCCTCTTTCACTAGCAAAAGCCACATTCCAAGCGACTCGGACGAGCTGATGAGTATGGACTACACTCCCGTTCACAGAAAACCGCCAATCAATAACAGAATCCCCTACTTACCCGTCCACTACAGCCCTGGCAGAGGCCAATGAGCGATGCCCCTGTAAAGGCGGTCGGGCGAGTGAATTTGTTTTCTTGGTCACCATAGCCTCAACAGCCAAAGTTACTGCAGATATTGATGGTGGTGCCTATTGTGCATGCCAACGCAGGGGGTAGTGGACGTGTGTTTTGTGAATTGAGCGAGTGCTAGTGAATTCGATGATTCATGTAGATACGCTGCCCTGCTTACCAGGTAGCTTTTCGTGTGGCCCGGCGTTTACACTGCGATGCCTAGCGCAGCTGACGTCGTTCATGGCACACTTCTACGACACGGGATGAAATAACCACCACGTTGCGCGTTCCATCGTGGGATTGTGACTAGTCTCCAGCTTAACAACTAGGTGACAATACCGGTTCTTCTTTATACACACAAGATTAAAAATCCATGAAATCAAGGAGGAATCCAGTCCAGGTGACCACACCCATTAGCAATGAGCCGCCTGCTTCTTCTTCTGCTTCTGCTTCTGCTTCTTCTTCTTCGTCTCGTTGTTGCTGATTTCATCTTGTGGTGAGGATGATGCAGCGGCGTGTGTTGATCTCTTTCTACTAGTGTGATCGAGATTTGGCACCACACCAGTATCAGCAGCGTCACAAGGTTGACAAGGCAACTCAAGTCGCGTGACAGGAATTCCAACGGCAGGGAACCTGCAGCCACGAAGCGCACATTCACGAGCCAAGCAGAACGATAAACCTTACCCTTGACGAGCACGGCAGGCTCTGCCACGCCACTCTTGGCGGCCTTGTTCAACCTCGACACCTCCTGCCGAAGCACCACATTCTCCGTAGAAACAAAGCGCACCGACTGCTCCAATTGGGTGCAGCGGCCCTCCAAAAGGCGGCACTTTGCCTCGAGACCTGTCACGTACCACTTTTTTCTCTGCCGGGACTGCCAGGCCGACTGCCGGTTGCGTTGGAGCCTGTAGGGAGGGCGTCCAAAGTGTGAGCAGTGTGTGTGTGTGTGTGGGTGTGTGTGCTTACCTCGACTGCCGCTTCACCTCTTCCTCGTCGTGCTGCCGCTGCTGCTGCTGCTGCTCGTCATCCGGATCCGAGCAGCTCAACAGCACCTCGTCCACAAACCTCCCCCATGAATCATCGTCCACGCCCACAAACAGATCCGAGAGCTCCACATCCGAGAGGACCGTCATGGCGCCGCACCCTAGCCCCAAACCCTAGCTCGCCCTTGAATGAATGAAGAAGCTTCCAGGCAACCTGTTGATCGAGACGGCGTCGAGGCGGGGCAGCGTGGCTGATGCGCAGCGCGCCTTTGACACCATTCCCGCCCCCAACCTCTACTCGTGGAACCTGCTGCTGGCCGCATATGCCCAGAATGGGCACCTGTGGCAGGCGCGCCGCGTCTTGGCCTGCATGCCCGCACCCAACGTCGTCTCGTGGAATGTGCTGCTGTCCGCCTGCTCCCGCCGCGGCCGCCCAGACGAGGCGCGGCAGCTCTTCCACTGGATGCCGCAGCACGACACGGTGAGCTGGAACACGGTGGAGCATATGTTCGCGGCCAGTGGCCACCTCCGCGACGCGCGGCAGACGTTCGACGCCATGCCCCAGCGCAGCGTCCTGTCGTGGAACACCCTCGTCTCCGCCTACGCCTTCCAGCGCCAGCTGCGGGACGCCCGCCTTGTCCTCGACCTCATGCCCGCGCGCAACTCAATCTCCGTCAACACTATGATCAAGGGCTACGCGTCTGCCGGCGCACTGCACGCCGCGGCGCTGCTCTTCTCTGCCATGCCCAATCGCGACCTTGTGTCGTGGAACTCGATGCTCACCGCCGCCAGCTGCTGGCAGCAGCACCAGCGGCTGTGGCATCGGATGCCGCGGTGGGACGTGGTGTCGTGCAACGCGCGGATCCAGGCGTGCTTGGGCAGCAGCCTTCACGCGGACGAGGGGGCCGCCACCTTCTGGGCCATGCCTGGCAGGGACGTGGTGAGCTGGAACACGGCGGCGGCGGGCTACGCGCGGCTGGGCCGCCCCCGCCACGCCCGCCGACTGCTGGAGCTGATGCCGCAGCGGGACCTTGTGTCCGCCAACTGCTGGCTGCATTACTGCTGCCACACACCCGGCGCCACCAAGCTCGGCTTCGATGCCATGCCCCACCGCGACAGCGCGTCGTGGAACTCGATGCTCGCCAGCTGCGAGCTGCCGGTCGCCGACGAGCTCTTCTGGCGGCGGATGCCTGCTTGGGACGTGATCTCGTGCACGCTCATGGTGGCGGCCTATGGCAGGAGCCTGGGTGGCATGGACGCCGCGGCCCGCGCGTTTGCCGCCATGCAGCACAGGGACGTTGCGGCGTGGACCGCCATCATCTCGGCGTATGCCACGCACGGGGACTGCGCCCGTGCGGTGGCGCAGTCGTGGAGCATGGCATTGGACGGGCTGGAACCCAACCACGTCACTTACACTGTCCTTCTCCACGCGTGTGCGCAGGCGGGGTTGCTGGAGCAAGGCGCTGCATGCTTGGCCGCCGCCGGTGTCACCGTTGCGGACGAGCAGCACTACTCGTGCTGCGTCGACATGCTGGCCCGTGCTAAGCAGCTGGCCGCCGCCGAGGAGCTCATCGCCGCCATGCCCGTCCCTCCCACCGCTGTCACCTGGACGGCCATGCTGGCTGCATGTCGTGTCCAGGGCGATGTGCAGCGGGCCGACACTGCCGCAGCACAACTCCTCGACCTCGACCCCGCCAGTGCGCTGCCATACGTGCTACTCCTCAGCGTCTACACCGAGGCAGGCCGGACGGAGGAAGCAACGGCATTGAGACGGCTCATGAGCCGCAGGGGAGTGATGAAGATGGAGCCCGGCACCACTATGATCCTCCTCGACACCTAAGTAACGACTACCCTCCGAAACAGGCGCGGTTTATAGTTTGCGGCCCATAACTGACTCCAGTACTAGGGACTTCCGGCCAAGGTCGTCGGCATGGCCAGCTCTGTGCAAGGTCAAGTCTTGGGGTGAGTCACGACACTTTATATGCACATGCATACGTCTCGTATTGCAGGCAACCTTCCTGCTCGCCCAGTCTTATCACTCACGTTCGAACAGCAGTTCTCTCCCACTTGGGTGTTGATCCCGTGGATGCGCTCGCCAAGGTACTAGTAGCGCTCCGTCTCTCTAACTATACACGTGACGGCCTCACGCCTGCTCAGGGAACCCTCCAGCAAAACTCCGTGGAGCTGCACGTTCACCACCACCACCACGTCTACGTGGACCAAAACCACCGAATGCACGACGCGTTCTGGAAGGAGTACGAAGAGCTTGCCAACACCACTCTCCTGGATATGCTATGGGCTAAAAACAAGCCATGCTACGGCAAAGTTAACATCACGTCTCCCACGCTTGAGCAACAGACTCCTGCAGAAGGAGCTCAAGCCAATAACAAGGGCAGTGCAACTAAACAAGTGCGGCCTCACAAGCTAAAGAGGCTCTTCCCTGGGAACAAGTCATCGCAGGGAGTAGACAAGGCTAACTTATGCGCAACCACCAAGTCTAAAGTCTGCTGCCTCGAAGCAGCAGCGCAGGAGAGAATTAAGAAGCTCTCTGACCTTGGAACACTGGTTAACATTGCCAAAGCTGATGCAAGGGGATTTCAGACAGACACCAAAGAACCCTTTTGCCAAACGCAACCAAATGTTCCTCATACTTCACAACAGCACAAGAAACATACACTCAATGAACGTTTCCAGGCTGCCGAGGCAAGCTTTGTAGCTGCTCTCAACGTACTGACCAACTAACCAGTGCTCGACCCTCAGGCGGCTAGAGACAGGCTACGTGAACTCGTGAAGGCATGCGTAAGACAATATCCGCGAAAGTTTGTGCCAGAGGAGATTCTCAGGAAGCAGAAAGAGTTGCAAGCACTGGAAAGAATTCAGAACCTTTTTAATAACCAGAATGACAACTCTACAGGGATTTCTCTAATGTCCACCTCTGTGGCAAGTCTACTAGAGAAATCCCCTTCGCATGGCTCGTTTGATGTAAGTGGTTGCACTGTTGATGAAATTGGTGCGCATGCAGATCCTAACCACGAACTGTCGAAAAGTCGTGCTGAGCCGTCACGCTCCGGGAGGAAGCCCATTCCTTCGGAAGAGGCGCCTGTGTGGCTGTCGGAACAAGGATGGCGTGATGTTTATGCTTCGCCTGCCGTGTTGGCTAATGGCATATCAACTCCACTGGAGTACTTGACGCTGTTTCAAATGCACCAGTCGAGAGCCGCTTGTAATCCATGGCTTAAGTTGCTGGAGACTGAGCTTGCCAAGCTTGTATCAGCGCTGGGCTTTCAGCAAATTGAAGATGGCCTTGAGAATCTAGACAAGAAGCTGGGTAACGTGGAACAGGCGGCAGAAACTCTTAGAGAGAAAGAAGTTAAGCGTTCAGAACAACAACCACAGCGGTCACTCTCCGACAGTATTACTTCTTGCTGCGCAGTGAAAAACACACAGGTACCGACTGGCGTCAGTTTCTAGATTTCGTAACGACGACGATTAATACCCGCAGCTTGAACACATTCTTTCATTTCTAATCTCAACGTCAGAGAAGTTCCAATCGTTTGTAAAGGTCACAAAAGAAGCACTGTTAGACGAGGACCGGAAAAACACTCTTTTCAAACAATGCGCAGGAGACAAGCGATTGCATCTGGAAGTACTAGACTCTGGATTTGAGCTCAATTCTGAACTCCTTGACATCCTCAATCGAATGGAGAGTGCACTAACACATTTTGCGAGGTTTAGCACCGAGTTACTGCCTTTTCTCAGTGAGCATCTATCTGTGACGAAAAAGCTTGTAAGTGTTTCTTTTGTTTTTATAGCTGTTGACGTGAATGAGCTATTGCTAGCGGGATGCCACATCCACCTCAGCAATAAGAGAGGTACAACATCGGGCATCGTGGCCAGAGAATGAGATGCAAAAGACGGTCTCTCTCTCCCCCTCTCCCTCTCTGTGTGTGTTGCCTGCGTGATTTACCATGTTTTTCTGTGCAGTCGTCTTCTATGGATGGTGCATTCGAGAATTTCATGTTGATCGAGGATATAGAAAAAACCAAGAAGCATTCTGAAGAGATGGTACAGATAATGGGCTCTTTAGAGCACCAATACAACATTCTGAAAACGAAGTTTGAGCAATTGTCTACATTTGACGAAGGACATTCTCGGGAATCTCGTGAAAACGTGCCTAACAATCAGCAAATGGAGTCCTTAAGCAACCAAAAGCTAGAATTGGAGAATGGAATCCGAAATGTGTCCTCTACGATTCCAGAAGCAGGAATTTTTTTCACTTGATTGGACGCTAACGAACAATGAAACAACTATAGGGACGTCTATTAAGCTCAGTTGAGCCTCTTGCAGTACTTTTCAATGATAATGTAGTTTTTTAGAACGAGGTTGCACCTAACCCTGAAGTTAAACGGAGGAGATTTTAGCGTCCCAATTGTTGACATAGTGCCTTTCATAACAAGGTCTGCACCAAAAAAGGTCCGTTTTCCGGAACTGCTTAACATGGTGTAGTACACGTTGAGTGGAATGGGTAGCAGTTTCTGCGAGACAAACAGCTTGAACGACTGAGAGCTGCTTCTGGGTTGTGTAAAGGGCATGCTTTTTGTGGCTCCAAACCGGAATCCATTGTAGAAGACAGTGAGTTCAATGCTCTCTACGAACATGTCCACTTTCTTGTTGGAATTGGTAAAGAGAATTGTGTACGAGGCATTAAAGGTGAAATAAGCAGCAAAATAGTTTCCGGAGCCTGAACTTGTTTGTTCCGCAATCTGTGCAGGGGTGAGAGCGGTAATGGCAAGGGAAACAAATCCTGCTCCCGTGACTTCAAAATCCGGTGCTACTGGCTGGAGATGTATGTACATTGCGAGCATGATCAGGCACAGAATAAAAAATACGCAAGAGAAGGCTACCAGACCACCAAAGAGCTCTTCTCCAAGTGCCTTGAGCTGTTGCTCCCGCTGCAGTTCTCTCTCGGCAGCATCAAAATGACTTTTGTTAAAAATCCTGCTGAGATTTTGCGAGTTTGGGATTCCCTCGTCTTCATCCACGACAAGACTGATCCTGGTAAACTTGCCTCCAGCTTGGGCCACTTTCCCAGCTTCTTCATCACCTTCAGCATCACCGCCAAAGCGTACTCCTCGTGGCATTTCATGTCCACACACAGACACACACTTGCGGATACCGCATCCTTCCTTGGATCACAAGCGGTTACGTTTGAAATTTAACGCGCGCAGAAGCTGCCGTGGATATCATCCAACGGTTAGTTTTGAAACGTGCATAGCCTATGAGGAATAACAAAGTCTCCTAGCACAGTTACCTGACACTTGACCATCAGAAAGAAGTTAGGTGACTTTATGCAACCTACATTCGGGCCTTTACAGTCAGCATGAGAATATAAGTTGCTTTGCCTAGCTTCATGTCGTTGAGAATCGTATAGTACACGTCTAGGGGAAGTGGCAGATTGTTTTCACGAATTATAATACAATATAAGTCCTGAGCTACGCCTGGCCTGCACGAAGGGGCTGTTCTCGCGGTTCCCAGTTTGAATCCATTGTAGTAGGGCAGTACTCGTTGAATTGTTGAATGTATCCACTTTCCTGTTGTTGCTGCTGTTGTCATTGCACCTCGTATGTAGTCCCAAACAGGAAATACGCCGCGTAGTAGTTACCTTCACCTGCAGCCTGCTGCCATGCTATCTGTGCTGGAGTAACAGGCGTCATCGTTAAGTAGTCAGAGCGTGCGGCCGTCACTTCGAAAGTAGGACTTTTCGGCCAAAGGTGCAAGTACGCCACAAAAAATCAAAGACAGGCACCCCACATTAGGACCTTTCTCCACCTGTAGTCTCTAGTGATCTCTCTAGTCTTTGATGTCAACCGCTGAGAATGTTCCGGACGTGGAGGACTTTCACCCGTCGGCTTTAGTTGTAGCCAAGGTTTTTGATGAATCTTATTGGTTATAAATTTTAACTGCCTGATCTGGGCGTGTATTTGACGGAAGCTGCTGACTTTTCAGAGGAAAGCCGATGGAAACCTGGAGCTCCTGGAAGGGTTGGAAGAACTTTGACGTCGCTGAAACGGACGTTAGATGACTGGCATGGTGAGGCCCCTGGGAAGGACTCATGAAATTTGGAAGAGGACATGTCAAGAGGCGAAACAATGCGTTCCACGAGGGCTGCTCGTGCTGATGCACTTTCATTAGGGCCTCTGGCTCAATTCCAGCTACCACATGTTGAGAGATCCCAGGGAGATAGTACTGAAAGTCATTGCAACGGTGAATCGTTGACAGTCCTCCGGCCGAGCATCCAGTGAGAAATGCCTGTAAAAATCACAAACTCTTGTAATTTATTTCGTGTTACTGGGGACTTTTACCTGGTCTGCTTTAAACCATTTGCCTACTTAACAGCCTGTTTGAGAAATCTACTGTGGCCACGTCGTCATGTTAGGGGTGGCCGCAGAGCGGCACAAAGACTGTCAGAATTGGAGATCAAGATGGCTGGGGACACAGACGATATGCTGTCACGAAGCAACGAGTTTGATAATCATGAGGAGGCATGGCTCCTTGAGCAGTGGCAATGGCATTTACCGATGCTGGATTTCATTTTGAATCCGGCACTGTCGCTCTTTACATTGATGGCAGCAATCAGTGCTGTTGCTGAGAGAGTGAGGAGTTTGGTTCCGAGGAACCGGGAACTAAACAGGACAGATATCAGCAGATTCTTTGATGAAGAATATCTTGCTAGAATGGAGGCCAAAGAAGCAAGAGACAGGGTCAGATGGTCGAGAAGCAGGCACTTCGGATCGATTCTCGTAGGACTTCTCTTGTTCTTTCTTGTTTTGGGTCTCGTAATGATGGGCATTTACTGCTACCTCAAGCCCAGCTTCCCTCGTCTAGACGTTGTTACTGCCAAATTTTCGTATATTAACATGAATGATGTAGACGCTTCCGAGATTATAGCACAGCAGGCTGAAGGTAAAGGCATGTACTTTGCGGCAGTATATAACTATAGCATCATCTACACTCTCTATTTGTCCAATCCCAACAAGAGAGTGGATCTTTATATTCAATCGCTTGAGATTAAGCCATTCTACTTTGGATTTCGACTTGGGGCTGGAAATTCGCCACCTTTTGTGCAGCTCAGAAGTAGCAGCAGGCTTGTGTTTATTACTGTCACTGACGATGGATTGCAGGTGCCGCTGACATCTAATTATAGCATTAAGAGGGATATACTTCGCAGAGCACTCACATTCATGATTGAGATGGAGCTCAAGGCAAAAATGAGCACCGTCTTCGGCTTAACATCTCCGTCGTTCTGGTGCAGTGTCAAATGTGACATTCAAGTTGATCAAAATGGCATGGTTGCTAATAAGATTTGCTCCAACAAGAACACAGTAAGGTAGTAAGTGGCTGATTGGAGAAACCTATCACATATTCAAAAGATTGAACTGTGAATGCATATGACCGACCTGACTGCCGGATAGTGCAGTTCGTACGTGCCATGTTACAAAGGTTGCATACCATTCAAAGGCCTCTTCTACAGTTGTGTATCCATCTTTGATTTCTCGTGCCTCGGGGCAGCCTTCCCTCGGAGCTTTGTCGTTGACTTAGCCTGCAGCATTCAGGAGTGACTATTGGTCGCTCATGAAAGCTTCATGTTGATGAAGCATAACGTGGTGGGGACAACTGATGACTTAAATTTTCGAAAAGATTTAACCTCTTCTCAATCTCTCTCTCTCTCTTTTTTCTAAGAAGACGAATCAATATATGTCCACAGTTTCTCAAACATTGATTCTTATCTGCTTATGAGCTGCACAAAAGGTGTCCCCATAAATGCATATCATTAGACTTGAAGATATTTTCACGTGAAAACCATATGAATCAGTGGGGACAGCAATTGTCCATAAATTATAATTGTTTACATTATTAAATTAAGATCATTATCCCCATCACATCGTTTATCAACTAGACT